TTTTTATTCTCAATTAATATTTAAGTACATACATAACATATGGTTATTTATTAGCGATATCACACTTTGTGCTATTAGCGCCTTCACTTAGTGCCGTCGAAACCCAAAGAGTTTATTGAATGTCCAGTAAAATCGTCGATGCGCCGTTGAATACAGAATGATGATTCTGTTTTTACGCCGTTTCCGCCCGCAGTTTTTGTCACAGAATGTATTTTCAAGAGAAATTAATTAATCATCTGAATTATAAAAGAACATTTTTTTATGGTAACAATTAAGTTTTTTGTATGAATGTAAGTGCTGTGAATATAAATAAACCCATAACGGGGGAAATGGAACAATATCTGGTAACCCAGTGAAAGTACCTCCCGCCTATTTCTTATGGAGTGTAGAGTAGAAGGAGAACCATCTTATAAGGTGCGAAAGTTGAAAAAGTGTCCCAATATATACTGAAAATAGAGGTTCCAAAACCTATCACAATAGCGCTGGCGTCTGAAAAACTACGATATGAATATAGCTGTTGTAGACGGAGTGAAGTCAGCTGAATTAAAATATTTAAAAAATTTCATGACTAGAGTAGTTAGTAAAATGCCAGTATACAAAACCTCAACTATTTACGTAGTAAAAAACCATACGGATTGGTCGGTCCTTGTTTATTTCTCCATCTTATTCTAATAAATTTTGGCGCTTTTTTTAAATTTATCCTATGCTACTACAGCGCCACCCTTATTGGACGCGTTTTTAGGGACACTTTTCATATACAGAGATGATGGTTCTCCTTCTACTCTACACTCCATACTATTTCTATCTCAAAAGCATACGCGAATGCTTTATCTAGTCAATCCTCTATCTACGCCGTGTATACACTCTTATCTATGCGTGTAGTATTAATTAGATTTGTCCCAAAGATGTTTTATAGGTCCAGATACCGTGTTGCTAACACACCGCAACGTTCATATTGAAGACAGTCTTTGATTCATGTGTGCGTGAGTACCACGTGACGCGCATATCTTACGCACCATGGCTGCATTAATGTGCGTGACTTCGGTAATAACAGTGCGAATCGATTACCCAAAAAATGTGGGAGGTTTTATATTTCATTCCTATTGACGTACATATTGATTCTAAGAGTATAAAATGTGTGTGCGTGGCGTGTGCATTTGTGTGTGTGTGTGTATGGGGATATGGTTGCTTATGTGTGTTTTATGTAGGTACGAACATCGCACTAAAATATTGAAGAGATATAATAAAACCTATAATTAATGTAACAGTTAAAATAAATAAAAAAGCACAGTAGATATTTATGTATGTAACATATATTTATAATCTATTATTACTAAATATATACAGAGTACTACACTGTTGTACTGTAGAACACAAAATATTGCCGCTTTTTACGAAGACATTAAATTATTTTTCAATCCTAAGTAAATGACGAAAAAAAGTAAGTTTGGTTAAGCGTAAATTTCAGCCAAGAGATAGCAAAATGTTTAATTTTTTTAAATTGCTCCGTTCCGTTGCTGCGTGAAGGAAGGACAAAAACAAATAAACAAAAAAATCACACTTTCACATTTATAATATTATATTAGTATGAATTGTCAAGAGTGACAGATAAACTTTTAAAACCGGTTTACAATCGGCTTTTTGAGGGTGGAACTATACCGGTTACTACTATAACGGTTCTGAGTGACCAAAAAGGATAGAAGCACAGGATAGTGCAATTTCATGCTGCCAGATGTAGTTCAACCCTAACCCTTAAAACGGTTTAACTCTATAGGTTGGGTAAAATCTGTAAAATTAGACTGTTTAAAACCCCTATACAGATAACCTTTGTAGTTGATCATGACATTAAAAAATGGTAAAAACATTTCATAGACTAGGCAACACTCGAATATTATTGCGCAATATTATTACTTGTATTGACATTTAGCTTTCGTATTCTTTTACAAAGAAATACACCATAAAATTGTATAGTTACTTATGAAAAGTGATGTTCTTATCTTTATCTTTTTTCCAAGAGTAATTTTTAAATGATTTCACAGCACAAACAGTCATTTTGCGAAATTAAAAACACCGGTGCGTGACGTATGTTCACAGTGAACGTCGCTGGCGTAATGGCGGAACGATCGAACGAATACGCCAATATTGGCGCCTTTGAAATGGAAGCGTTTTAGGCGCGCGTACACGGTATCTGGACCTATAAAACATCTTTGATTTGTCCATAGAGTACCTTACTGAGGAGTTCCTGTATAGGGCAATTACTATCAAGGAACATACTACTCTCTGACGAGAGATTACTATACTCTTTGCTGAGGAGGGAGGAGGTTTGCTTTGCCTATGGAGTGTAGAGCACTCCATAGCTTTGAGCTTTGCCAAAGCCAAAGTGTGCCAAACAAGTGTTTCTATATAGTTTGTGTGCCAAACTACTGCCATAGATAAATTTATCTATGTAAATAAATATGTAGCCAGTTACTATATATAGTCGTATTTTTAATTAGACGAAGCCAACTGACAGTAGCTAATGTCACTTTGTAAAATAATGTTGCCATATTTAAAGTAATAGTGATGCGTTCAGTTCTCGTTCAATCAGATGAATGAACAATGAGTGTGTATAGTTAATCATTTCAAACTATAAAAGAATATTATTTCTATTTTACAATAAAATTGTATAAAAGTGCTCTGATATAAGTTACTAGTAGTATGTAACTACAATCAGTTTTTTGAGGTTTTATTACAAAGCGCGGCGCGGCGACTACTGCCAACACCGATCAACGCCGCGCGCGTCGGTCGCCATTTTGTTTGTTATTCGGCTTCTAACCTCTGGTCTGATAGCACGAATGTTTTTTCTGCGCTCACGCTGTTTAGTTATTGTTTTTGTTAAGTTTTTCGTTACGTTGTGTTTGTGGTAATTGTTGTGTTTATTTGTTGCTATATTGTTTCGTACAAATGATATGGATCCTCAACCAAGCACGTCAAGCCAAAGCTTGTCTCCAAGAAAGAAGAGACCACGGATTGCTTTAAGCGTTACCGAAAAACTTATGATACAAAACGTCTACAAACACGTATTTGAGGAAAAAGCTGCTTCACTATTACCTATTGAGGCCCCCGAAAAAAAAGAATGTGTTTCGAAAACAGCTGACATTTTGGGAATTGGTGTGACCTCAGTTTCCAGTGTGTTAAAAGAATGCAAAGAAAATGAACAATTTAAGTCTCCCGAGAAACGTGGACCGAAACACAGTTTCAAAGATAAATTAGACGATTTTACTTTTGCCGCTATAAGGCGAAAAGTACATAATTTTTTTTATGCAAATGAGTCACCCACCATTATAAAGGTAACTTAAACTTTATTCCTTCTACTTCATTATATTCTGTGTCCACCATAATGTTCTTTGTAAAACCAAAGTATTAGATTGCGTAGACTTCCTTACTCAAAACATATTTTTATTACTTTACAGATTCTTAAGGTTGTCAATGAAGACCCAGACTTACCCAATTTTTCTTGGAGTACATTAAGAAATGTTATGAAACATTTAAATTTCAAATATGTCACAAAATCAAGACACAGCATTTTAATTGACAGACAGGACATTATTCTATGGCGCCAGCGATACCTTCGAAAAATTAAAGAGTATCGAAGGGAAGGAAGGTATATTTATTACCAAGATGAAACCTGGATCAACGAAGGTAATTACAATTTTCTGTTTTCTTTACATTAAATTGTACTTTCAATAATTAATTGATATTTTTCACTATCTTGAAGGTCATGCACCGAAGAAGGCATGGATTGACCAGACAGTGTTATCGTCCCGCCAGGCCTTCCTAGATGGCTTGACCACTGGCTTAAAACAGCCTTCAGGAAAGGGCAAACGATTAATTATCGGCCATATAGGCGGGGAAGAAGGATTCGTAGAAGACAGCTTATTAATATTTGAAGCCAAAAAAAATATAGAAGATTATCATCAAGAGATGAATGCCGATTCCTTTGAGAAGTGGTTTAGGGGGGTCTTGCCAAAACTAAAACCAAATTCCGTAGTAGTGATGGATAATGCCCCCTACCACTCCAGGAAACTAGAATCGCTGCCTAAAATGTCTTGGACTAAACCTAGAATACTAGAGTGGCTAACGAGCAAAAATATTTCATTCGAAGCAACAATGGTTAAAGCTACTCTTATAGACATTGTACGGCAGCACAAGCAAGAACATTGCGATAAGTATGTTGTGGACGAGATGGCAGCGCAGCATGGGATAATTGTTTTACGTCTGCCCCCATACCACTGTGAGCTCAATCCCATTGAGTTGGTATGGGCGCAGGCTAAAGGATATGTTGCAAGAAATAACAAAACCTTCAAAATGACAGAAGTAAAAAAACTTTTTGAAGAAGGACTTCAACATATCACACCTGAAAAATGGAATAGCTGCGTGTCTCATATAATTAAAAAAGAAGACAAAATGTATGGTCTCGACCACATGATTGACAATGTTACTGACAGATTTTTAATTAATGTCACCGAAAGCGATAGTGATGATTTTTTATCTGATAATGAATAAAAACAAATTATGTAATAAGCGATTTTTTTTATTCTCATTACCTACCTATAATTGTTATATTTTATACATCTATAGTTTCAACTACATGATGTATTGAAAATAGGACAGTCTTACAAGTTTCCTCGCAATATTTTCCTTAATGTTTAAAACACTCGGTATTCAGTATAGGTAGATATTATAGGAACATAGTCGTTGAAAACTCGTTGGTATGTACAAAGCACGACTAAAATTCGAACCCCGTACCCGATATCGGCAGTTCAGCACACTAACTATTCACTAGACAATCGAGGCAATTTCATTAATTCAGGAGTTTTTCAATCATTCACTTTGTCACAACACTATTTTTATTTCATCAAAAACTGACAACACAGTAAACGTCAGTTGACTTCGTCTAATTAAAAATACGACTATAGTCTTGTACATACTACTTTATAATTTGTGCTATATAGTTTGTGTATGTAGCAAGCTAACTACTGCTACTGTGTACGTTGTGATTTAGATTTTCACAAACTGCGATTTTCATTTTATTTTCTGGCATAAGTTGCTGGAATTTAGTAGGTGAATATAATTAGGGTGTAATGTAAGAACAATGGTATAATTGTATAATGGTATAATTGTTTATAAGTTGTAGTGTTTTAGGATGCAAAAGTCGCACTGAACGAAAAATTTGTGGAATAACTTTTCACTCGTAAGTACTAATTCAAATTGAAGATAAAATACAATGCTGTGATCATATTTAAGGCGTTTAGGAAGGATTTTTAATGCGTATTGAGGAATACATTTAGAAAAAGTCTGTGTTTTCATTAATTTTGCAAAATCAAGATAGGTTATGTGTTGACAATGTAGTAAAATTTAACTTCCCAGTTAGTAATAAACATTGATTGCAATTTTTTTAGATTTCCCTTTAATACTGTGACAAAATCGAAATGGCTAGAGGCCACTGGAAGGCAAAACTGGCAGCCAACAAAGTATTCCAAAATATGTTCAATTCATTTTAATGCTGATGCATTCATATTTACTAAAAAATTGTACTACTAAAAACAAATTCAGTGCCAGTAAAATATATACATGTAAGTTTTGTATCTTTTTCAGCTGCTTACTATGAATTGCATTGCTTGATAACTCAAATTAACAGTTTCAAAATGATACAGATGAAGCGTTCAGGGGAAAATGGTGAACCAAGTTGTATTAAAGACGAAGGCCACATTTTGGTATGTATTATATATTGTACTGTATTTATGTACTTTAATTGCATTGAGAATTCCGAACATCATTATTTTAAAGTAATATTTTATTGTATTCCATAATTGTAGTGATACTAATATCATGTCTTATACCATAATAAGACATGCTACATCACTACATCACAAGTCCACTGCTGAACAAGGGCTTCCCGCATAGATATTGACAAAGCACGGTCATCAGCTACCTGCAAGTTTCATTAGGTTGTCACACCATGTTTGGGGGAGGTGAGGTTATTCAACATTGTGCTTGCCAGTATTATGGTGAAGATGCCACAAGTGAACCTGTCTACACCCTTGGTTGCCCGTTCTTTAAGCTATTTAGCTGGCCCATTGCTACTTAAGCTTACTGATCTGTTGGGCTAGTTCAGTTATTCTTGAAATTCTGCTGATATACTTATTACGGATATATAATATGCTAAAACATATGTTAAATAATTTGAGTTCATTATGATTTCATTTGAGTTCATTATGGACCCTGTTGGTGACAGCGTTGAAGAGAGAAAAAGAAAGAAAAAATCACTTAGCACCTGGATTAATATTATTCTTATAAATATTTATTTACAAATTAATATAATTATATATTCAATAACTAGCAAAAATAAATAAATATGGCAGTAAATTTATATTAATAAGTAAAAACAAAGAAGTTAAAATATTTGGCATATTATTAATAATCTGTTATTATTAGAATTCAATGATTGTATAATAACATTCTGTTACATTGTTTTATTGACCTGCTTATATAAGCACGAAGACGATGAATGGAGGTGGCTCAGGACAGTGCTTTGTGGTATTCATTGAGAGAGACCTATGTTCCTATGACCTATGACTTGTGAAGGGCTGTAATGATAATGATGATAAAAACATTCAATAGTTAGCAATATCATTAGTTTCTGTTTGTTATTAATTTGGGTAGATGATTATATATTTTAGTAGTAGTAGTGACATTGCAAAAGAAGTTAAATCTTATAAAGTGTACCGTGGAGCCTCATTACTCCGGACCCCTAAAAACAAATGGGGGTCCAAATTAGACTATGTGAGAGAAAAATTATTATTTAAAAGAAACCCAGAATCTATACAAATAAATAAATTTTAAAGTTTCTTTTTGTAATGTCACAATACATGTTTTATAAAAAATGAGAACACTTGTGTTTAATATTTTTATTGATAACTTGATTTAAATTATTCATATATGTTATTTAAGGTAACATCTAATATGGAGCAGAGTACCGATGCCAGGAAGTATAACGATAGCAAAAATTCGACACAACAAGATAAAATACTTAATGTAGGTATTAAAGAAATATCTTTTTATAGAATATAGGTAACAAACGAGCACACAGTTCACCTGATGGTAAGTGTATGCTGTGGCCCATATTCATCTACATTTAGTCTCAATTAAGAATCAAAATGCAGATGCGTTGTCACCCGTGAGGACTAAGATGAAATGCCTTGTTTCTAGTTAAAAGGGTCTCCGGTTCTCTACATTCACCATATGAAACACAACAGCATTAAGCTGGTATTTTACGTTGGTATTTGAGAGTGTGGTCCTACCCTGGTCAAGCCAACCCATTTGTGCTACAACCATAATATAGTTGCAGTGTGGCTCTACAATGTGTAAAAAGTATTACTTATTTTTTTTTTTTTTTTTTGCTTTACAAAACGTTACCCCCACACTAGGATTTTCTCCTGTATCGTGGAGGCAGTTTACAAACACAAATTTCACAAGGACAAACATCCAGACCCGGAACAATCATTTGTAGGCCATACAAATACTTGTTCCGTGCGGGATTCGAACCCGCGCCCCCCCAGCGCAGCAACTCATTGCTAAGCCACTGCGCCACGGAGCCGTCAATTTAAACAATGGCTTGTAATATTTTGATATCTAATTGTAAAATTTTTGTATAAATATATGACTACTATTAGTTTAATACCTGGGTATAATTCGCACCTCAAGATACAGGAATAGCCTAGCTTGGGGAAAGTATTTACATATTTTTCTGAAGTTTGTATATCTTTTCTAGAATATTGTTTAGCTCACTGTTCTTGCATACATTTGTTATATTTTAATGTCAATTAAATTTATAACTATTATTATTATTGCAGCTTAATTTCAAAAGGTGATGGATGAAAACTAGAGACCTTTTTTACTAGAAACTAAGCATTGCACTATTAATGACTACATAAAAAAAAATTTTTTACGAAGTGTAGGTGAAGTAAGAGGTGGCAGAGGGAAATAAAACGGAGATGGGCAGCAGCATTTTCCTAATAACATCTCACAATATTTAAAATAAACCTGTGATTGGCAACCTGGCCGCTAAGCCCCTATCTCTATAGATATATAACAGGGTTACTTTTCAAAGAGTAGCCAAATTTTAAACTTAAGTTCAAATATACATATAAATAATGATATAACGTTATTGCAATTTTTGAAACCACGAGTAAATATGGCTTCTACATTTATTTAAAAATATGCCAAATTTAATGTGATTTATGGGCAACGACTATGTGTATGCGCACTCCTCTGTGTGCGATTCAATTCACAATGTTCTTGCCAACCGAACGACCCTAACACATGTGTACGTGCGTAGTAAAGTAGTAAGCATTAGATATTTATAAATGACAAACAGTTAAAATAATGCATTACCACACATTTTTCATTTTAACGATAAAAAGGATGATTGAGACTTTTTAAATTAATTTTCTTCATCATTTGCCTATATTACTTATTCTAAACCTCTGCAAATTTGGCCGGTTATTGCAAAATAAACCTGTATATAGTGGAGGCTTATGTTTAGCATTGGACTTTGCTAGACAGTAATGATGATGACAATCATGATGATGAAGCATTATTGCATCTTAGTCCTCAGGGGTTAAGAAATCCACTTACCCTTAGGTGGACTGTGTGCTTGTTTAACGCCCTTACTTCTATTAAAAAAAAAGACGTATTACAAAGTATATTGCAGAATAACCCTGTATAGAGAGCCAGTGTAATATAAGTTGTGAGGCATTCCACCTTCATCATCACAAGTGACAATGTATCTGTGTAATCCTGTCCCGTGCAGATGGCTAATCTCAGTTTTGATTGCAATACAATAACTATTCGATTAGTCGCTGTGCCCCAATTTAGTCTGGATAACGGCTCCGTGGTGCAGTGGCTTAGCAATGAGTTGCGGCGCTAAGGGCCGCGGCTTCGAATCCCGGACGGAACAAGTATTTTTATGACCTACATATAAGTTTTCTGGGTCTGGATGTTTGTCCTTGTGAAATTTATGTTAGTAAACTGCCTTTACGATACAAGAGAAAATCCAAGTTAGGGGGTAACGTTTATTAAAAAAAATTAATAAGAAAGGTGACATTACTATTTTTATTAGCCAACACCTTGAGTGCAAATGACTATAAAATAATTGAACCTAGAAAGCATTTAAATTTTTTATTCATAAACTGAACTGTGAAACGAACATACAGTCTACTTGATTGGAAGTTTGCACAACAGATGCGTTGTCACCTCTGAAGGATAAGAAGAAATGCCGGACAGCCAGAAATGAGGGCTAATAATTTTCTGCTCACTAGATGTCGCTAGTTGACACCGAGTTAGTTTTTTGTTACACAATGTCATTCAATTGAAAAGTTAGTTATTGATAAAAAATTATCACTTTCTAGAGTATCATATTAATACATAAAACAATGCCTCAGTGGTTTGCTATTTAATTTTTTGCACATTTTAACTTTTGTTTTTTTTTTTCAAATTTTCTACTTTTATGAATATCTGTGGTTTGGTTTATTTTTAATCTTATTAATATATAATATAACTAATAGTACAGACAGAAACATTAACCTTTAAATTTTCCGAACAAATGTATTCCCCCACTATGAAATCTGTCAAATATTATAACCTAACTTTTAAGCAGCTGCCCTGGTGGCAGAAAAAGTAGTGGACGCCCTCATTATATTGACTTCCTATATCCTTCAAAGTAGTGCAAGCAATGCTACTTTGCGGCTGTAATTATATGGATAACAATTAATTTATTATTGTGTATTCCAGGTGTGTCGAATTTGCCTGGCAACTGACAGAAAAATGTACACTCTATACCGGAGTAGTCTCAGAACATGTTATGAAGATTGCACAGGTTTAAAGGTACATATTTTCAAAGGTGGATATTTTCGTTTTTTTAACCGACTTTAAAAAAAAAGAAGGTTCTCAATTCGACTGTATTTTTTTTGTGTGTTGCCTCAGAACATTTTTCTAGGTGAACCGATTTTGATGATTTTTTTATTTGAAAGCTGGTGCTTCTCATGTGGTCCCATATAAATTTAATCACGATCTGACCAGTAGTTTTTGAGTTATCCTTAATAATGCGTATTTAACTGACTTTGACTACATTTTTTTTTGATATAGGATAAGAGTGACAAACGTGCACACAGTACACATGATGGTAAATGGATGATGTGGCCCATAGACATCTACATATATCCTCGTATACGAATCAAGATGTGGATGCGTTGTCACCCGTGAGGACTAAGATGGAATGCTTCGTTTCCAGTAAAAAGGATCTCCGGTTCTCTACACTCACCATGCAAAACACAGCAGCATTAAGCTGCAATTTTACGCTAGTATTCTGTGAGAATACCAGTGTAAAATATAATAAAACATTGTTGGTGTTCTCATTTTATTTATATTGAAGTCGGTTGTACAAAATTATTAATTTGACCACTTGTTTCTGTATGAATATTAGGTACTATTCACACCAGGATCATCATAACTCATGATCAATGTGTAATGTTTTAGTTTTTTAAGCTAATTTTTTTACAGGTCAACCTAACGGACGGATTGCCCAAAATGCTGTGCTGGGAATGCAGGCATAGACTTGTCTCGTGTAGAAAATTCGTGGATCGCGCGAAGCACGCGGATATGGTGCTGAGGAAGCTGATCGGTGGTGGATGTTATGTAAGTTTGGTGTAGCCGCATACAACCAGATAGCTTGCAGATACCAAGGCTTAACTTTGCTCGTCTATACTTCACTGTTTCTATAAAAGGGAAGTTTTGATGTGTTAGCGTCACATTTGACACTGACGACTTTGAATTGTCAATCGCAGCACCAGACGTCTCGCTCTTTTGACATTGCTTCCGTGATTGGTCTGGTTTTTAAAGTTCCGTACCAAAAAAAGGGTATCTAACGGCACCCTATTACTAAGCCTCCGCTGTCCGTACGTCTGTCTGTCTGTCAGCGAGCATGTGGTCCCAAATAAATTTTATCAAGGTCTGATCAGTATTTTTTGAGCTATCCTTAATAATTTATATTGAAGTCGGTTGTACAAAAATTTAAACTTTACCACTTGTAAAAAAAAACCTTACTAGAATATTTAGAACCTCTGAAAGTTTGCTTATGATACCTTATAACCTATTGCTTATTGATCTTATGTTACAGTTAAGCTTTAACAGGCTTAAATCGATCGACACGCAAAAGGAGAACTTAAAGTCAAATCTTTCTCAAATAATACGTCCGCCAAATCATTTCGACATAGATTTACTCGAAATCGGTCTATCCGAATGTACGAACATACAATTTGAAGCAGATACGCAAACAGATTCATTAAAACGTATAGACACACTAACAGAAATTGATGTAAAGGAAGGAATTGTCGATGATGAAAAAAACGAACATGCAAATTTTGAACAATCCGAAATTTATTCACCTGAATATCTAGATGAGTATGAATTGGATATGACAGATAGTGATTTAGATCTAAACGAAGATGAATCTAAAGATGCATTACAACTTATAAAGAAGCCGACAAAAACCGAAACAAAAGAAGAAATGAACTGTGAATCAAATGAACATGCAAATTTTGAACAATCCGAAACTTATTCACCTGAATATCTAAATGAGTATGAAATGGATATGAAGGAAAGTGATTTAGATCAAAACGACGATTCTATAGATACAATAAGATATGTAGACACATCGATAGAAACTGGAGCAAATGAAGAAATTATTAATGGATTAGACGAACATGCAAATTTTGGGCAGTTCAAAACTAATTCACCTGAATATCTAACTGATTATGAAACCGATACGAAAGAAATTGTTTTAGATCTAAACAAAGGTGTGTCTATACGTCCAGTAAAACATGTAGAGATACCAATAGAAACTGATGAATGGATAAATCATAGACAGTCCGAAATTGATTCACTTGAATCTACGACAGATGATGAATTGGATATCAAGGAAACTGTTTTAGAAAACGTTTCTACTGATAACAAATATAGAGAAATAAAAAATGTTAAACTGTGTGCCGGAAAGAAAATGCAAAAGGAAAACATGAATGGGACTAACGTAGACATAAAAAGGAAATCAAAGGCTACAGTGCTGGACCCGGCAGTGTTTACTATCATTAATTTGTCATACAGTGAGCAAATTAGAGAAATCACGAAAAGGAAAGAGAGCGACAACTATAAATACTCCGAGTATAAATGTGCAGAGTGTTACAAAGGCTTTCTTGAGGAAGACATATACAAACTTCATATGTTACGACATTCAAATGTAAGTAACCATTTCTTTCTTTATAATTAGGATTCCGTAACCAAGGGGTAAGCAATGGTACCCTATTACAAAGCCTCTGCTGTCCATCCGTCCGTCCGTCTATCTGTCTGTATGTCTCTCAGTGGGCTGTATCTCATGATCCGTAATAGGTAGACGGTTGAAACTTTCATATAATTTGTATTTCTGTTGCCGCTATAACAACAAATAATAAAAATGAATAAAAAAATTAAAGGGACTCGTCTACTAGAAACGTGTTTACGATTGTACGGAACACTTCATACGCGAGTCCGACTCGCACTTGGCTGGCTTTTTATCGGCCTATAAAAGGTTACTGCTGGTGGTGGGTGTCTCATGTTAAGAAGATTGTTATCACGTCTGGTCTAAAGGAGATAAGTTATTCAACTATCTATTGGAAACCACAAGATTTTCCTGCTAATTCCCTAGTCGCCTCTTATGATACTTCCAGATCTATTTTCTTATGTAGTAATGGACTTTCACAGGCTGATGAAGAAGGGTGAAGAACATGGTAGAGTCATGCTGCAGCTATATTAGTAGTATAGTTGTAGCGCGAATGGGTTGGCTCGACCAGGGAATGACCACGCTCTCATATAATACTGGCGTAAAATAACAGCTCAACACTGCTGTGTTTCGTATGGTGAGTGTAGAGAACTGGAGACCCTTTTTACTGGAAGAGAGGCATTCCGTCTTAGTCCTTACGGGTGACAACACATCTGTATTTTGATTTGTAAACGAAGATAGATGTAGATGCCTATGGGCCACAGTATCCACTTACCATCAGGTGAACTGTGTGCTCGTTTGTCATCTTTATCCTATAAAGAAAAAAAATGAACATGTAGGAATCCCTTACACCAGTGTTTTTCAATTAGTGATACCCCTACCCGCAGAGTGATGTGAACTTGACTTTGCCTAAGGTAGACTAGTTTGCTAATTCTCACCATCAGGTGGACTCTATTTTCGTTTATCACTTAAGTTTTATAAATAAAAAATTTAAATGCATTCTGGGTTGAATTATTTTATAGTCATTTGAACCCAAGGCATTGTCTAATAAAAATAACAATGTCATCTCTTTTCTACCCGCTTCTAAAAAGAGGAGTTGTTCAATTCAACTGTATGCTTTTTTATATGTGGTACCTCATAACTTTTTTCTGGTGAACCAATTTCGATGATTGATTTTTTTAATTGAAAGCTGGTGCTTCTCATATAGTCCCATATATATTCGATCAAGGTCTGACCAGTAGTTTTTGAGTTATCCTTGATAATTTATATTGAATTCGATTATACAATCGCTGGAGGACCTTAGCACTATGCTCAATGACCTCAATAGTGTCTCCCAATGGATAGGTCTTAAGATGAACATGGACAAAACAAAGATTATGTTTAATGTCCATGTCACACCTATGCCGGTAGTTGTTTGGAGCACTAAGCTCGAAGTTGTTGACGAGTATGTTTACTTGGGACAAATAGTCCGACTAGGTAAGTCCAACTTCGACCGAGAGGTCAATCGACGGATTCAACTCGGCTGGGCAGCGTTCGGGAAGCTACGACACATCTTCTCATCAGACATACCGCAAAACCTTAAAACGAAATTGTACAACCAGTGCGTGTTGCCAGTGATGACTTACGGAACTGAGACGTGGTCCTTCAACTCTGGCCGTATGAGAAAGCTCAAGGTCGCTCAGCGAGCTATGGAGAGGGCTATGCTCGGAGTTTCTTTGCGTGATAAACTTAGGAATGAGGATATCCGCAGTAGAACCAGAGTAACCGACATAGCCCAACGGATTAGTAAGCTGAAGTGGCAGTGAGCCGGCCATATAGCTCGAAGAACCGACAACCGATGGGGAAGAAAGGTTCTTGAATGGCAGCCTCGTACCGGTAGGCGAAGTGTAGGGTGACCCCCCGACGAGATGGAGTGACGACCTGGTAAGACATGCAGGAAGTCGATGGATGCAGGTGGCTCAGGACCGTGCTTTGTGGCATTCCTTGGGGGAGGCCTATGTTCAGCAGTGGACTTATGAAAGGCTGTAATGATGATGATGATAAAATATTTTCAATTTGAGATATTTTTTTAAATGTTACTCACACATTAGAAGTTGGGAGAGGCCTGCATCCGGCTGTGGACTGCCGCAGGCTGATTATGTTCTACCCCCATGGTAGTGGCGGTGTAAAAATATCCAATTTCGTCCCGTGGGTGTCGTAAGAGGCGACAGAGGGAAACTGAAACAGGAGATAGGCAGCAGCGTCCTCACAATGACGACAGTTGCAAAACTATGGCAAAATCCTTACTTTGGGGGAGGTCTATGTTCAGCAGTGGACTTTTATAGGCTGTAATGGACGGATGAATGCCCATAGGTACGTCCCAGGTTGCCTGAAAAAGTACACTCTTAAATTAGGTGAAAACTTAAATAACTGATGTGATTTTTATCATTATTAAAACTGTTGAGGAGGTAATAAATTACCTAAATATGATTTTTATTTTTATTTATTACTAGCTGGTACCCGGCGAGTTGCTGCCGCATAAGATGTGATTGTGGAAAAATTGTTTTAAAGTTGGGACAGTTCTATTGTTGAATTACGAATGATAATGATACATTCACTGAAACTGAATGATATATAAATTTCAAATGAATTTGTCGGTACGGTACGCGCGCCACCTACTGTAAGTTAATTGTACTATGCCTATAACCTTCGTGTGCAATCTGGTAAACGGTATAGCGGCGCATAAAATACGAACAAACAAATATTAATTTTTATATATTAGATTTCGGCTATAAGGGTACGCGAGATAGAGTTCTTTCTCGAAGGGTTATGCAAGAAAAATTAACTGCGAAAGCAGGCAGCCTTACACCAATATTTCTAAAAACGTGTAACATGTGACGCCATATATAAATTACGTTTTTTTTTCCCCCAGAAATTCGGCAACTACATTTGCGGTATCTGCAAGGTCCATTTCAACAAACGACGTGCACTATGCAGACATATTACAATTCACACGCAGAAGTTCAGCTGCAAACACTGTCCCTATGTTACCACCGGAAAGTGAGTAGCCCACATTAAGGGGACTAATGGAGCTAAACGCAAGTTTTATAATGTCTTAAAGTATATGATCCTACTGCAGTAAAGAAAATCAGAAAAATATATGATATTTTTTAGGATATATGCTATTTAGTGTGTAGGTAACATGATACGATACCATAACTAATTTGATACGATAGAAAATAACCTCTATAAATTTCTTTTAACGGTTAAAAACCATACTAATATATACATGCAATCATTCTGATTTTTGTCAGGTTATACTACATGCAACGTATTAACGTAATAGTGATTTAGTTTTTTAGTCCAATCAATAGATTTTTTGTAAATCGCATATTCTTATATCTGAACATAATACGTACGCATGTGTGCGTAAACGCCTGTGTATCGACAGTGCCGGCCGAGGCCTGATGCTATACGGAAATTATTTAAATATGTGCGTACGTCACTCGAGGTCACTTAGGTCTTGTAGTCCTCTTAAGTGTAGTCCTTTCTTTAATACGGGATGCAGGACTGAAATGCGGATCACTTTGTTACTGCTTTAATACAAGTCGCGGCACGTAAGTTTAGCGCTGAATAAAACGTGGAGAGGACGTGCACGAATCGTGAGAACCAGTCAGCGCGACTTATGCGCAATAACGGTCACCGCTAGACTTTCGTGCCGCTACTTATACTAGTTAATATTTTAATGGTACACTTACAATATTACTTGAGACAAGTAACTATCAATGCTCTTCCAATACTCACTAGTTTCGCTGTGTCTTTTCCAGCCGTTCTTTTATCCTCTCCGTTAACCGGTGTTGCCAATATAGTTTTTTAAAATTACAAAAACTCCTCGATTAATTTAACAAAAACTGACATAAAGATTGTCCATTGTTAGAGGTTTTATAGAATAAATGACAGACGAATAGACATGGGTAACAATTTCGCTAACTCAGTTCATTGCGCTGATTGACGCACTTCTTCAAAATGTGATGGCGTACAGCGCACGACCGGGAAATTCCAAAGGTCGCGTCACGACTTAATAGTGCTGACCTTGAATGCGCAGAAATCGATTTTTAGATCTGTTTGGTGGAAGGAGTGAGGTGCCGGCGTTCTATTGGTCCCTTAGTCGTCTTCCCCACGTTTTGCTCCGTTAACGCGTCGCATACAGTCGAGTACAGTCGTGCATATCATTGTTTCTATACGTTCGATGATCACTTTTCGTTTTTAGTGTGAAAGATGCCGAAAAAAATTGTTAACTATTCAAAATGGTGCACGACGTGAATTGTTTTATCACAGCTTAAAGACCTTACAGTTGGGAAACGAATGTACTTGCGTAGATCAACAGTGGGGGTACTGCGGGGCGGGGGGCGGGCCGACCTTGTGCTAACGCACTTCACTGAGTCTGATAGATAGACAAGCGTATGGCGCTAAAAATCCGTGAAACGACCTATATTATATTTTAGTTTTAAAAACTGCAACTTTGTGCAATGTAGAGATACTTAGTACTAGACATGGGACGAGTACTCGGTTTGGATTCGGTACCCCGCCTTAATTATATTCCAGAGCAAAATAAATACAAAAAGCCAGTTCTTATCATTATTATTATATTAGACACATTAAAACATCAGGAACATGAGAAGCAGCAGAAATATTTAGAACGTACATATGAATCTACAATAGAAATTATTGTTACTAATATTTAAAATTTAAGAGAGGCAGATCAATAATTTTTCTAGATGTTTTCCGATAAAACGATTTCTATAAGCAGTCATTTTCGCGCCAGATAACGAAAACTATCTCTCGAACATGAACTCATGTTGTCTCATTTGACAAGTAATCAGTAATCACTCGTCAACAGTATCCGTGGGTGTGTGACTGATCGAGTACCGATACAAATACTTTTCTTTCAATAGTACTGGGTACTAAGTTTTAAAGTATCGATACCCAAAGTACTTGGTATAGAAAGAAAAGTATCGAGTAACAACTTGTATTTACTCGTATCGTTCCACCTCTAACTCTGTGTAAGGGAAATAACCACACGCCGTCCGCTACCGCGTTTTTTTAAAGCCGAGTATTCGGCCGAGTACTCGGCCCAATCTAGGCCGAGTACCCGGTGGCCGAGTGCTCGGCGAATCACTACTCGTTCCATGTCTACTTAGTACCTATGTAGGTAATCTTTCTTTTCTACATTTTATTTTAGCTGAGTTGACAGCTGTGTGTAAAATTTGTGGCGCCACAGCTCAATTTTGAGTTGAAGCAAAGAGGCGGCGCAGTAAACTGCGTCTGAGTTACTGAGTTAGCGCGAGGAATTGCACTGAGTTAGCCATCCCTACAAACGAGCGCACAGGCCACTCAATGTTTAGTGGATGTCGTGGCCGATAGACATTTACATTAGGAATTCTCGGTTATGAATTAAAATGCAGACACGTTGTCACCCGTGAGGACTTAGATGGACTGCCTCGTTACCAGTCAATAGGGTCTCCGGTTCTCTTTTTTTTCTATAAGGTAAGGGTGACAAACGAGCACACAGTCCACCTGATGGTAAGTGGTTGCTGCGGCCCATAAACATCTACATCTATCCTCTATTACAAATCAAAATGCAAATGCATTGTCACCCGTGAGGACTAAGATGGAATGCCCCGTTTCCAGTAAAAAGGGTCTCCAGTTCTTAACACTCACCATACAAAACACAGTAGTGTCAAGCTGCTATTTCACGTTGGTATTCTGTGAGAGCGTAGTCCTTCTCCGGCCGAGCCGACCCATTCGTGCTACAGCTATACTACTGATTTAGCTGCAGCATGACTCTACCACGTAAACATACGAATTCTCTACACTCACCATACGAAGCAACAGCATGAAGCTGCTATTTCACGCTGGCTTTTTTGTTATTAGAAAGATTAATATGTTCAGAATATAGAATAAACACAGAGGTTGAATATTGTTTTATGTATTAAGCTTGGTAGCATGACGAAAGACAAAGTGTCATAAGTGAATATTAAATTACCTGTATTCAATGGACTTTATTAATTAACTGTGTAAACAATTATCCCCCAATATAATAACAATAAATATGACAAAGATGCTGCTTTTTGTCCCTCGGTTTGTTTCCCTCTGACACGTTTTATACGTGGTAGAGCCATGCTGCAGCTATATTAGTAGTATAGTTGTAGCACGAATGGGACGGCTCGACCGGGGAAGGACCGGCTGAGGGCCGCGGGTTCGAATTCCGCACGGAACAAGTATTTGTATGGCCTACAAATAATTGTTCCGGGTCTGGATGTTTGTCCTTGTGCAATATGTGTTTGTAAACTGCCTCTGCGATACAGGAGAAAATCCTAGTGTGGGGCTAACGTTTTTTTTTTAAGAAATGAAAAATGAGTGAATATAGACATGATCGCAACGCTTCCGTCTTCCTTTTTGGGGTTCCGTACCCGAAGGTTAACCAACAAGACCGTACTACTAAGCCTATGTCGTCCGTCTGTCAGCGGGCTGTACCTCATGATCCGTGATGGGTAGACAGTTGAAATTTTCACAGAATGTGTACTTCTGTTACCGCTGTAACAACAAATAATAAACATTAAAATAAATTAAAAATGAAAGTGACCTCACCTATTCGAAACGTGTTTTACGATGGACGACCCTTTATGCGCGAGTCCGACTCTTTACCGGTTTTTTTTTTGTATAAGATGAATTTACAAACGAACTCACAGTCACACTCGTCCGTCTTTTTTATTTGAAACCTGGTGTTTCTCATGTGGTCCCAAATAAATTTGATCAAGGTCTGACCAATAGTTTTTGAGCTATTCTTAATAATTTATATTGAAGTCGGTTGTACAAAATTTTTAATTTTAAATTATTGGAACGAAGTTCCTTATCGCACGGTACGAGTTTGGCGGATGGGAGCTAGGCGAAAAAAGTGTAAGGTTTTTCAGTCACGACCTTATCTATAGTGCGAGCGAGATGGTGGAAATATCCATCTCCCTCGCACTTTTTCTTATCTTGCCATTAAAGAAATATTATTTTAAATGACGCTTTATTTTAATAGAAGTTATTAATTAATTTATTTGTATTTGTATGTATAATAATATAATACTTTTATCAATAATAATATACTACGAAACGAATTTCGATCCAACGGAATGATCCACAACACTCACGCATGTTTTTTTTTGAAGTCGATTAAAACATTTTTAAATGCCGCTAATATAAATAATGCTGATATAAAACACCAACCTAGATATAGGCATGTCAGCTATAAGCTGTTCGCCTATTTCTACATAATAATAATAATTGGGTTGACTGGTAGAGAATGTCTCAAGGCATTAAGTCCGCCCATTGCATTATTTTCGATTAAGGAATGCGATCAAGCATAAATAAATAAATTTTTATATTCATTATTGTTGCAGGAAAACCGCGAAGCTGCACGAAGCCTACCATAACGGCACGGTATACAATTGTGAGCAGTGCCCGGAAACTTTTGTGTGAGTTAATCAATCTTCCTTATTCTCCTTCATCGGCACGTAAAATGTGTGGGCGTCTTTCATTGTTGGGAAGATTTCCCCCTTTTAAAGTCCCTCCCCCCTTTAAAGAAGAAGGGTATAGTATAATAGTATAGTGACCTTACCGTGGCCGAGTAAGAATATCCACTATCCCATATCCCGTGGATGTCGCAAGAGGCGACTGAGGGAAACAAATCAGCAAATGGGCAACATCGTCTTTCTAATAACGACTAAAAATAAAAAATTGCAGTTGCTAACCCTCTTGCGAAGTGTGGCACCTATGGCAAATATCTCCCTTATGAATCAATCTATGAGGGAGGCCTATGTTCAGCAGTGGACTTTAAATACGCTGTAATGGATGTATGTATAGAAGATAATGAGGCTGACAGATGTGTAGGCATTGAGTTATATGTACTACGTACTAGAGAAGCCATTCCAAACAAAAATTGTGTCCTACTCTATGTCTTCGCGCATGCGCGGGAGTAGTAGTCGCGCATGCGCGAAGACTTTAATTTGATATAAAATACGATATTAATATAAAATAAATATAAGAATTTAATATAAAATATCTTAATTTAATCTAAACAAACATATTTCTAAATAAAATGTAATAATAATTATTTTATGGAATTCACAAATCTTCAATTTAATATTTAGTTTGTATGGATCGCAGTACAGTTCAGTTGAACATAGTCAATGTTCGGAATGGCTTCTCTAGTACGTAGTACATATAGCTCAATGTGTGTAGGTGTTTTTATTGACTTACAAAAGGCCTTTGACACAGTGTCAACGTCGATTCTTTTGTGGAGGCTAGAGAAATTAGGTACAAGAGGGACTGTACTGCAATTGTTTCAAAGTTATTTATGTGACAGAAAGCAGTGCGTTAGATTGGATGGACATTCCAGTAATGACATGCGATGTATATACGGTGTCCCACAGGGCAGTACTCTCGAACCGACATTATTTTTAACTTACGTAAATGACATGAGTAAAATTGAATTAAACGCCGGTAATATAACTATGTACGCTGACGACACCGTAATAATATTTCATGCAAAGAGCTGGGAGCGTGTGAAACAAGTTGCTGAGGCGGGACTGGCCAAAATTTCTTGTTGGTTAGAAAATAATCTACTTTCACTAAATACAACCAAAACAAAATTAATCTGTTTCAGCAAAACTCTAGCGGGTCAACCAAATGACAAATTTAAATTAAAGATTCATACAAGTCCATGTAACAAACTTAATGATGTTCCAATATCTTGTAACTGCCCTTACATAACTAAAACTAACACAATAAAATATTTGGAAATTATAATTGACGAAAAGCTTCAGTGGAAACATCAAATAATATCACTTAGTTAAAAGATAAGAAAACTTGTCTATGTTTTTAAGTTACTAAGGCTTGTAGCAAGTCCAAAGTTATTGTTGCAAACTTACAGATGGTTTTCCTTGTACTCTACACTCCATAGTATTTATGGAACAAAATGATTGATGGATGTTCTTTAATAAATTAACTACAGTGCCACCTATTGCTTGTAGGATAAGGGTGACAAACGATGTGTTGCAGATGTGTTGTCACCCGTGAGAACTAAGATGGAATGCCCCTTTTCCAGTAAAATGGGTCTCTGGTTGTTTGGGTCTGGAATGTTTGTGACAGACAAAACTTTTATATTGGCAAAATTCGTCCTCATAATGATATGGCTATATATAGCACTGGACTTTCACAGATCGATGGATGTATGGAACCTATTCTAATTGGTTGCTAATTTTCAGCAAATTAACCACGTACCTGGGTCATGTGCGAATAAAGCACCCGTCAGACTATGTGTGTGAGTTGTGCGGGAACTCCTTCATCGGCAGGAATGGATTAGCGCAGCACAAGAAGTTGAAGCATCGCTTCGATCGACTGGCGGTGAGTAAACGGCCCACTGCTGGGTGCCACTGAGTTTCATATACAGTCCCATTAGGTGGTGGGGTCCGACTAGGTAGTCAAAAGAGTTTTATACGCCTCGCTTCTAACCTTTATACAGGGTTATTTTTCAGAGTAGCTAAATTCTAAATTTAAGTTATATTACACCGTATGTAAGTAATGATATACCGTTATTGCAGTTTTTGAAAATACGAGTAAATAAGGCTTCTACTTTTATTTGAAATTATCCCAAATTGAATGTGATTTATGGGCAACAACGTTTTTGCCTACCAATCGACCCTTACGAATGTGTTAAAATCAAATCAAAATCAAAATCAGTTAAAATAATGCATTAGGATAGATGTAGTGTAGCGTAGTATGAGCCACAGCACCCACTTACCATCAGGTAGACAGTGTGCTCGTTTGTCACAAAAAAAAATTCCATACAATGGAGGACGCTTATATTCAGGCGTAGATTTTATGGACTCATGGTGAAGAAGATTTTTATTGAAGTATTCTTTTCTAATATTGTTGCAGTTAGCAGATGATGGTCCGTCCTGCAAGGAGTGCGATATCCAGTTCGCTACAGAAGGTGCATTGAAGAAACATTTGAAATTGTCAAGCAGACATAAAATAGTGTGAGTGTTAAAACTCGGAATCGCTTAATTTTTTCTCATACTTACTTACACATATGGTCAGTGTTCGGTCCAACCGTATAGTGACGGTGTAAGAATATCCACTGCCCCATATCATACCGTGGGTGTCGTAACAGGCGACAGAGGGAAACTAATCAGGAGATGGGCAGCAGCGTCTTCCTAATAACGATAAAAAAAAAACTGCGGTTGCCAACCCACTTGCCAGGCGTGGCATATATGGCAAATATCCCACCTGTGAGGCAATATCTGTGGTCTTATGTTCAGTAGTCGTCTACTTTAATAGGCTGTAACGGTAACGGTCAGTATGTGCTGGTAACAAGGCATCCTGTCTTAGTACTCAGGACTGACAACGCATCCACTTTCGATTTTCCCTCCGATCCGGGACTCGAATCTGGGGCCTAACGATCAGCAGCCGTGTTTTACGACCACTAAACCGTGGTTTTTTTATTGATTTGTGATGGCGGTGTAAGAATATTCACTACCTACCCCATATTAGCATATTGATATAAGGATATATAAAGAGGTGTGCAGCAGCAACTTTTTGGTAACAGGTGAATAGAAAAAATTGCGGTTGCCAACTAGCTTGCCATTGCCAAGCATGGCAACTATGACAAATATCACCCCTATGAGGCAATCCATGGGAAAAGCCTATGTTTAACAGTGTACTTTTGATAGGGTTATCCTTAAGGATAACGGATAGTAGGTGTGTCGAGTCGACACACCACCACTACACCACGGTTTACTTATACGTAAAGTTGCGTAAATTTAAAATTGCAAAAAATCATTATAAACCACCGACGAAACCAGAGTTGATGTTGTACAGGGTTATTTTTCAAAGAGTCGCCAAAACTGAAGTTCAAATATATAAATAACTAGAAGTCCCGTCAAAATCGGTCCAGCCGTTTCGGAGATTAGCCGGAAAAAAAACACAGACAGACAAAAATTAAAAAAATTGTATTTTAGTTATAAGTACCGTATTTGCTTTCATATGCATTTAGTAAAAAACGGTAATTTTGACATTACAAACAGACACTATATTTATTTGTATAGATGATATACCGTTATGGCAGTGTTTTTTTTAAAATATTAATAATGCTATTAAACATTACTAATAATATTCCCTTTAAACCACTTCTGGTAAGCTTAAAATGCTTGTGTTAGAAGTGGTTCACGACAGTAGTCGAATGGCGGATTCGAACTCACGACCTTTCGAGTTTGCGGTCCGTGCCCTGCCTTTAGACTACTGACGCTTCTTGTTGCAGTTTTTGAAAATACGAGTAAATTAGTCTTCTACTTTTATTTGAAGTTATCCCAAATTGAATGTTATTTATAGGCAACAACGGTTTTGCCTACCGATCGACCTTTACGAATGTGTGTGTGCGCAGTAAAATCAGTTAAAATAAACCTAGCAAGCTAACAGCATAGCAAAGTGGCGAAGCAATCAGCTTTGTAGCGGTTTGTAACGGTTGCCGTTGAGCAATCAGTTTCAAAATAGGAGGTTCAGATGCCTGGGTGATCAGTAATCGATTGCTGAAAACAGAATTTGAAAATTCGAAACCGTTCTCGAGATAATCGTGGGACAGACATCGTGAAATCAATAAGTGACTTCGCAAGCTTCGCCACTTAATAATGCATTACCACGCATATTGCATTTAAAAGATGCGGCCAAGTGCGAGTCGGACTCGCGCACGAAGGTTTCCGTACCATCGTAATACACGTTTCAACTAGAGGAGCCCCTTTTAATTTTTATTATTAGTTGTTACAGCGGCAATAGAAAAGTACACATTCTGTGAAAATTTCAACTGTCTACCTATTACGGATCATGAGATACAGCCCGCTGACAGACAGACGGACGGACAGCGAAGGCTTAGTAATAGGGTCCCATTGGTTACGGAATCCTATAAAATGACAGAATGTTTGAGATATTTTTTAATTAATTTTTTTTTCACCATTTGCCTATATTACTTAATCTGAAGTTTCTCTGAAAATTTAGCCGGTTACTGTATGAACCGATTTGTATTTACTTTTTTCTTTTGTTTGAAAAGTGACTTGATCGAGAGTGTTCTTAGTTACGATTCAAGACATATCTTCAGCCATTTGAAGATCATCGGCTTTTTTGTTACGGGGGTTTTAATTTTTTTTTTAATTTAAGTTATTGTATTTTACATCCAATTTTGTTGCAGACTGGAGCCAGATCGAAAGCGTGGAAGACCGACCGACTATGATTGGAGCGATAACGCAGAGTCACCGAATGAAAAGAGAAAAAAGCGCGACCATGAGCTGGAAACGCCCATATCTTGTGAGCAGGTGCGAGTGGACTGTGTAGTTGTGATCAATGATTGTTGTGTGAGTGATTGCACGAGACAGCTTATCAGATTTGTTACACCACACATTCTCACAAAATAATACCGATTCTTGCCAAGGACGATTCGCAAGGCTATTGAAATTTAAAAACATCCTAATTTATATAGAGAAGATGGCTAGGCACTAGCATCTTTTTTTATTTTATTTTTTATAGGATAAGGGTGACAATCGAGCACAGTAAGTGGGTTGCAATGGCCCGTAGACATCTACATCTATCCTCGTTTGTGAACCAAATGCAGATGCGTTACGTGTGCAGCCGTGAGAGCTAAGATGGAATGCCTCTTTGCCAGTAAAAAGGGTCTCTGGTTCTCTACACTCACCATACGAAACACAGCAGCATTAAGCTGCTATTTTACGCTGGTGTTCTGTGAGAGCGTGGTCCTTCCCCGTTCGAGCCGGCCCATTCGTGCTGCAACTACTACTAATATGGCTGCAGCATGACTACCACATTAAAAAATTAGTAAAACTGGACTTTATATCTTTAATATTTCGTTCGCAGTGTGAAATGCAACTGGCGGACTATACTTCGTACTACCGACACTTCAGGAGTGCGCACCCGGGCAAGAATCGAACCAACTACGCGTCGAAGGATACCCACTGTATGTGCGAGGTGTGCGGCCGGATGTTCAAGGTGATCATTTCATGTTTATTTGATATTGTTGTATGGTAATAATAGCGATCCACTCCGGCTTTGCATGTGTGAGTTCTGGTTCTCGACAACAGCGCCACATACCGGTCCAGTTGTGAATCTAAACCATTCTCGGATATACTTAATCACACACACAAAATGTAGATTTTTTATATATATAAACATCCTCTTTTTATATACATACTAGCAGTACCCCGCGACTTTGCTCGCGTGTACTTTGGTTTTTTTTTTTTACGCGGAACCCTAAATCTTTTTCTAATATAAAAGTGACCTAAGTTAATCCTTATAACATCAGCCATCTGCCAGGGAAAGTCCCGTCAAAATCGGTTCAGCCGTTTCGGAGATTAGCCGGAACAAACAGACAGACGGACAAATATTTTCAAAATTGTGTTTTTGTTATAAGTACCGTATATAATTTCATATGCATTTAGTAAAAATCTGTTATTTTAACATTACAAACAGACACTTTTTTTAAATTTTTGTCTGTCTGTCTGTTTGTTCTGGTTAATCTCCGAAACGGCTGGACCGATTTTGACGGGACTTTCACTGGCAGATCGCTGATGTTATAAGGAGTAACTTAGGCTACTTTTATTTTAGAAAAAGAATTAGAGTTCCGCGAAAAACAAACTAAAAGCCAAGAAATAGTAGTAAATTCCACGCGGGCGAAGTCGTGAGGGAAAGATAGCATATAGTAATTATGACGTAGGTACACAGGTAGGGTTCGTGTTACGTGGTTCCATGTAGAGACACGAGAATGGTGTCTTCTTCTATAAATATAATATTATGATATTACTAAACTATTTAGATATTATTTATAAGACATGTGGCGGCGCTGTCATCGCGCCACAAGCGAAAACATATCGAAGCCTAAATCGCGCTTACAAAGTTCCGAAGTTAAAGCAGTATATATAGAAAGGCTCATAACTACCACGCGGAGCGTTGGTCGCTCCCCGAGCAAAACACCTTGCCCGGCGGGAGATCTCCCCTTTTCCTTTCACCGGCTACAGACACGTGGACACCATCTATGGAGGATATCATATAATAATATTCCAGTTGCATTGCTTCCACGTAATACCTAAACTACACCATCTCAGTCCTCAGAGGTGACAATGCACGTGTATAGTCTGTTCGCTAAGATAGTATCGGTACACCCGGAGGCGCACTTATTATTTTGATTTTATTTTAATGTTTTTACTGTTTATTAAATAAATGTTTTTCTATTCTAAGAATAAAATAGACTAGTATTTTATTCTTATGGTTATTGTAATAAAATACGAGTATGAATAATAAACACAAGTTAGGTAGCAAAGAACCATTCACTACGGCGCTTCGTTTTAAAATGCCAAATTCTCCTGCGTGTGTACCTTTGATATCGCGGCGGCACCTATAACAATATGCGGCACGTGCCAAGGCGGCGCGATACAAAGGCGACCCTATCTAAGCGAACAGACTATAAGCCTTCTTTTTTTATGTTGGCTAGAGAGAGAGAGTGAAACTATAAAGTACTTGTATTAATGAATTGCAGAGTCCAGCGTTGCTCAACGATCACAGTTTGGTCCACTCGGGGTTGAAGCAATTCGAGTGCCCTCAGTGCCACAAGGTGTTCCCGCGCCGATACAGTTTGGTGAACCATAGGCGACTGCATCGAAGATCGAAGCCGACCCACCAGTGTGGCGTTTGCAACAAGATGTTCAGCAACGCGTTCAACTTGAAACGACATAAGAATGTCACTATCACTACCTATGTATTTTTACATCTATATATCACCATCAGCATCATCATTAGAGCCCTTCACAAGTCCACTGCTGAACATAGGCCTCCCCAAGGAATGGCACAAAGCATGCCGAGCCACCTGTATACATCGACTTCCTGCATGTCTTAGCAGGTCGTTACCCCATCTCGTTTGTATATATATATAGTATAGGTCTGTCAGTTACGATAAAGTACTACGAATTGCGGTAATTTAAAAAAAAAAGTGAAATAAAAATAGGAATTTAGTTTGTTACATTTTAGCAATGTATCCTTTTAGTTTTACTAAAATGTACGAAATAATACTGAACCTATTTGATAGCGCCCTCTAGTGTATTCTTCGGTAATTTATAATCCCGCCGCCATCTTTGGCATAGCGGAAGAAACTTATCTCGTATCGTCATCTAATAACACGGAGCAAATACAAATAGGAGGTGTTGGATTGGCCATTTTATTCACACACTCATTTAACTATTATATTCGTTGATCACCCATTCACTCACACATGAGTCGCCTTCCCACTTCCAATTAACCGCTACCTCTTCAATCTATGATAAATCTCCGCGTAGATAACGCGCCTGTACGCCTGAGTTCCGCAAAAACCCTTAAAAGGATTTCATCACAATTAAGAAGTTCATCCTAACCCCGCGTCAATAATTCGCCGCGCTAAAATAATTAAACTCCAAAGGAGGCAGTGATTGCAGTGATAAGAACTGATAATTGTGTGACACGTGCCCGCCATTTATGGACATTTTGGTGGTGAATTGTGGTATCAGTCAACTAGACGCCTGACTACAGTAAGTTCTTTCTTTATCCCACATGTGTTGTAATTAGATTTTACTATGTAACATCGCGTTATAATTTGTGGGGTGAGGGGGGTGTTAAGCCCATTTAACTATTTCCATCTACCGATAAATACTAAAACTACTCGCATCGTTCCATGTCGATGTTGTTATTTAGTTTAGCTACCTTGGTGGTAAATGGCGGCCTGTTCACAAATTATTATAAAAACTGTAAAAATAATATTTTGGAATATTTTTAGTGTCGCCATCTAGTGCCGAATATATTTAATTATATTTGAAAGCCGACGCTGGGATTTTATTTAGAACTACTTTAATAAACTAGGTATAAAATTACTTACAAATGAAATGTGACGCCATCCATAGCATCAGAGCGTCTATCTGATTAGTTTTTACACGATAAAACACAACACTTCATACTTTTCTTCTTAATATTAAATAATAACACTAATACTAAAACATACTAAATAAATATACTAAAAATAATATAATAAAAAAAATATAAAAATAATACTAAATAAATAATAATAATACTACGAAAATACACCGATTTGCGATTTTCGACACTTAACGAACGCTGACAGAATACCAACGTTAAGGCCACGCCCACTGTGATGACGTCAGGACCTAGTTAGAATCACAGTGCACAGTTGCTTAGGCCGTCTCCTCTTTGTATTTGCTCCGTGCCTAATAATTTGTCAGAGTGGCTCATCAATACGCTATAAAGTATATTATTTACGAAAATACTGTTGGCCATCTCCTGTTTCGGTTTCCCTCTATCACCCACGACACCCGCGAGACGATATGGGGTAGTGTATTCTGTTACGCCGTCAGCACACAGCATCATAACTGTATCAACGAATATCTTTCAGATCCACACCGGCTTGAAACCGTTCAAGTGTGAGATATGCGAGAAATGCTTTAAGGATCTCCATGAGAAGCGGCTCCATTTTACATACGTTCATCTGAAGAAGCCGTGGCCGAAACGCACGAAAAAGAAGCCGACTAATTCGCGACAGGTCAACATTATTAGTTGCAGAGCGAGTAAAATAGTAGACTAAGATGAGATGTATAGATGTATTGTTCCACGCACACAGCAACTATATAATTACGTCCACAATCGCTAAGCTTCTTTGGTGAGGTCCTTTTTTTATAGGATAGGGTGACAAACGAGCACACAGTCCACCTGATGGTAAGTGGTTGCTGTGACCCATAGACATCCACATCTATTATCAATAAATGATCAAAATGCAGATGTGTTGTCATCCGTGAGGACTAAGACGGAATGCCTCGTTTCCAGTAAAAAGGGCATCCGGTTCTCTACACTCACCATACGAAACACAGCAGCATTAAGCTGCTATTTTACGCTGGTATTCTGTGAGAGCGTGGTCCTTCCCCGGACGAGCCGACCCATTCGTGTTACAACTATACTACTAATATATGTATAGCTGCAGCATGGCTCTACGACGTATAATTTACGTCTAAACGTTCTTAATAATTGTAGATGTCATAGGTTAATTGCTCGTTGTCGCTTCCCGAGGTAGAGTTCACAATCGTGTTCCTGTAATTATAAATTTGTAATTAAATCAATTAAGATAAATCAGTCCGGTGGGAAACGTAAGAAGTGGTAAAATTAAACATTTTGTACAACCGACTTCAATATCATCATCATCATCATCATTACAGCCCTTCACAAGTCCACTGCTGAACATAGGCCTCCCCCAAGGAATGCCACAAAGCACGGTCCTGAGCCACCTGCATCCATCGACTTCCTGCATGTCTTACCAGGTCGTGAATCCATCTAGTGGGGGGAAGTCCTACACTTCGTCCGCCGGTTCGAGGCCGCCACTCTAGAACCCTTTTTCCCCATCGGTTGTCGGTTCTTCGAGCTATATGGCCGGCCCACTGCCACTTCAGCTTACTAATCCGTTGGGCTATGTCGGTTACTCTAGTTCTACTGCGGATATCCTCATTTCTAAGTTTAACACGCAGAGAAACTCCGAGCATAGCGCTCTCCATAGCTCGCTGAGCGACCTTGAGCTTCATCATACGGCCGATATAAATACTACTAATTACTAATTACGACTTCAATATAAATATAATTTATTGTTGATTTTTTTAAAACCGCTCAACCGATTTCGATAAAATTTAAATAGGATCACCTGGGAAGTATAGCCTTTGAAACAAAAAAAGAATTTTCCAAATTGGTTGTGGTGTCTTCGAGTAATCGGTGAACATACATTAAAAAAAGCCGACGAATTGTAAACCTCCACCTTTTTGAAGTCGGTTGAAAACCGTATCTGTAGCATTTTTGTGGTAATTTGCAGCTATGTTATGTTTGAATTAGTCGGCTCGACCGGGGAAGTACCGTGCTCTCACAGAACACCAGCGTAAAATAGCACCTTAATGTTGCTGTGTTTCGTATGGTGAGTGTAGAGAACCGGAGACTTTTTTACTGGTACTGTAGCATTCCATCTTAGTAAATGTCTACGGTCAACAGTATCCACTTACCATCAGGTGGATTGGGATTTCATCGTCATGATGATAATTACAGCCTATCAAGGTTCACTGCTAAATATATTCTTACCGCATAGATTGTGTCATAGGCGGGATAGTTTCCACGCTTGGCAAGCAACCGTATTTTTCTATTGAGTGGTCATCAGAAACAGCAGCATCTTTACCCGTACCGTCTCCTGTTTCAGTTTCCCTTTGTCGCCTCTTACGACACCCACGGGATATGAGACCCTTGCTTCTATTAAATGGCTTCCTTGTTGCCTTATATAAACATACCTAGCAACAAAAAACTTCAAATGTCTTTATATCTAACCATTTTCAATAACACTAATGTGTCGTTTTTACAGCACCCGTCAGAATAATACGCTATTTTTCAAGTCTACTCTAACTCTGTCTGGGTTGCCCATCTGTGAGAGCAAGATCGATTCATCGGTACACACATAAAGTTGAAGTTATTAGTTTTTTTTAAACAAAATCGAAACTATGATACTAATAATTGTATTTGTACCAATAAGTGATGACTTTGGTGTTCTGTAAAAGGAGTTTTAAAGATTCTTTAGTTTTAATAAAGGAATTTAAACACTGCACAACTTAAGAAATGGTGTGCGTAATTCATTATTTGTAAGGAAAATTGTAAATAAATATCTAAGAAAACCATTGTCTTTTTTATTATTTGTCTCTAGTTTTACAGGTCCGGAATCCCAACATCATAATTTAAAGGCATGAACCTTGTCCATAATAAGACTATAGGCACCCTCATTGCCTCGTTACGGGTCATTTAACATGGTCTTTGTTAGTTAAGAAACCATACTGAAATTGCAATAGTGAATCTAAGTTTTAGAAATAATATTAAATATATACTAGCTGACCAGGCAGACGTTGACAGAAAATTTGAGGGTCACTTATCGGGATAAAAATTATCCTATCTCTCAAGTTGGACCAAACTGCACACATTGTGCAAAATGTCATTGAAATCAGTTCAGTAGTTTAGAAGTTTATCGCGGGCAAACAATGTGACACGTAAGTTTTATATATAAAGATATATATATACATATATATATATATATATATATATATATATATATATATATTAGAATTTGTAAGGAAACTGTTATATTTTCCGAACGTTCAAGGAATGACGTTTGCGCTGTCATATTTTGCCGCCGTTTTACCTTTACGGAATAAAGAAAAGTTCATCAATGGCGATTGACAAGGTATTTAATCGTTACTGGCTTGCCTGCCTCGTTGATCTAAGAGTAGTAGATGCGGCTGCTGCTAATTAGGTCCTAATTCTAATTAATTAATTAAAAAAACAAATATAAATTATTGTGTTTTTCTGTCGACAAATTCTTCTTTTTTTTACAAGGTTGTCGTTTTTTCATTCCATAGACAGATAGACACCATGCTTAATCCGGTTTTTAATACTTATTTATATCAATCAACATTAACAGTAGCTTCATCTGACATCTTATAATAAAAATGTTAACTACGTACGAATAATGCGGAATTTCACACTATCGTGGTTTTTTATACGTGGAAAAGCCATGCTGCAGCTATATTAGTAGTATAGTTGTAGCACGAATGGGTCGGCTCGGCCGGGGAAGGACCATGTTCTCACAGAATACCAGCGTCAAATAGCAGCTTAACACTGCTGTGTTTCGTATGGTGAGTGTAGAGAACCGGAGGCCCTTTTTACTGGAAAAGAGTAATTTCATCTTAGTCCTCACGGATGACAACGCATCTGCATTTTGATTCGCATACGAGGATAGATGTAGATGTCTATGGGCCACAGCAACCACTTACCAACAGGTGGACTGTGTGCTCGTTTGTCACGCAATCCTATAAAAAAAATTAAAACATATCGTCACAGTGTTATGTGCCATATGACTGTCAAGACTTAATACTCATATCTCACTAACTATTCTTTTATAAAGTTTGTGACATAAATATTTGCAATATTATATAATTATCATCACTTGATTTAGAAAACAATTCACTTTATCGCTCGAATAATAATAAGTCTAGTCCTGTTTTCTTTATGTTTTTAGGCATATCATAAAGTAGTAAAAATAAATAGATTAAAAAACGAGTATTATTCATGTCAATTGTTGTTAACATTGAGAACGAAATCACTATAAATTAAAGGCTACAATAGGGATGTAATTTTTCTAGTAAATCAGAATATACGAATGTATTTCATATTTGTCTTATTTGAAAATTAAATTAGAAAAAGTAAGATAAGTATATTGACTCAAAATCATATCAATCCCCTTTGGTAATGTTCGTTCACTGGTACATAGACACTACACTAATTAACATGCTCAACTTTGGAAAAATCTAGTAGACTGTAGACAAGCTAGGGAGGACCTGCCTGAAATAAACAATTGTTTAACCAAGGTCCTAATGAGACTGAACAAGCCGCAGATCAGGACAGTAACAAGTGCTATCACAGGACACGGTAACTTTAACAAACATATATTTAGCATAGGTATTACGGGCAGTTCACTGTGCAGGGCATGCATGGGGGCGGAAGAAACAGCGGCCCACGAGTTGCTAACGTGTCCGTAAGTCGCTGTGTACAGCCACAGATTACTAAATAGTTTACTAAACAGATACATCACTCCCATACAAAAGCGAAAATACCTACGCTATAATAGCCTACAAAATCTTAATAATAATATCTGCTGTTCGCAGCGAGAAGAAAATGTACCATAAGTACGCGCATAAAGAGTCGAGATTGTGTTGACCGCCGTGCGACTCACGTGCAAGCGCGTCATCGCACGAATGCGCTAGGATTGTACCTATGATGACTATTGTAATAAAACGAATCTTGCGAAATAACCATATTTGTTATTTGTCAATCAAATATGTTTGAGTTTTATAAAATGATTTATACATTTTTTTTCCTTCTTTGAATTCTCGGTTATTAAATCTTATCGTTGAAAATATTTAGGATATTTTCAACATCGCGTAAATGGTTTTAATAAATAATCATGAGGAAAACAGGAGCGAAGCGGAGGAAAATCAATGGTTTGTAAAATTTGTAACACGCTACTGCCAGACTGATTCATTATGGCGTTGTCAAAATTATTTAAGAATGCTTTTTTTCTTGACACCCATCCACTGCACAATAATTACGTGGTTTCGGCATTTCGACGAGTAAGCGCGGGAAACGTGCGCGGTGCATGCGCTCAGGCGGGCATGCGGCAGCCGCATAGATCAAATATATATGTAGCAAGCTAGGCAGCCGGCAGCCCAATGTCGGTTGTATCGTGGGCGATACGCAGAACGGTAGGCATAAAACGCAGGGCCTTGAGCGAGTGACTGAGGCCTGGTACAGGGCTAAACATCTCTGCACGGCGGGATCACTCCTCAAAGTTGCTTGCAACATCAAAGGACTATTGAACTTCTTCGGGGAGATTTCATGGCTCGAATCATTGAGTTATATGTACTACGTACTAGAGAAGCCATTCCGAACTTTGACTATGTTCAACTGAACTGTAGTGCAATCCATACAAACTAAATATTGCGTAAATTGAAGATTTGTGAATTCCATAAAATAATTATTATTACATTTTATTTAGAAATATGTTTGTTTAGATTAAATTAAGATATTTTATATTAAATTCTTATATTTATTTTATATTAATATCTTATTTTATATTAAATTAAAGTCTTCGCGCATGCGCGACTACTACTCCCGCGAATGCGCGAAGACATAGAGTAGGACACAATTTTTGTTTGGAATAGCTTCTCTAGTACGTAGTACATATAACTCAATGGCTCGAATAAATACATTATTCTTGCCCACACGCAAAATACGCGATTAGACGTGGAGTTGCGGAAAACAGCCCGTTTATTCAATTAAATTCAAATATTGACTCAATTTATATAGAATTGTAGCTTCCCTCTATGCATACATACATATGTATGTAATAACTTAAAGGTTGTTAGTATTTATTACACATATGGTTCTCTTCTGTATGAAATTGGCACTGACCTCTATTATACAAGTACGCTGGACTGGCTATACACCGCGACATAATGAGAGGATTTGTTTTTTGCCATTTTGGCACTGATAGCAGAAATGAGCGTCCTCAAAACTAATAATAAAGATAGGACAGTGTGACGAAATATTAAGTCTAAAAATTCTATAACCACGCCTACCATTCTTGTATCATTTTAATATAATGCCAAACAATAAACAAATGTATCAATTAATATTTATGTCTTAAGACACAAGCTCATTCGAGAGGTTTAAAAACATCCGATGAGTATAAAAAACTGGGATAGATAACTACAAAATGAAAGAAATATAATTTTGTAAATAATTTATTGTTAAACTTTCATTTAGTTCCTGTAATAGAGAAAATTAAAACGCTGCTAAAAAAGATATTATGCCTATTTCAACAATATACCTAGTCAGGTCATAAATTCTGTTACATGTTTAATATATAACAATTGAAACAAGTTTATTCATTATATAACCATTTATATACCAAAATGAACTTAACAAAACATAGATTCTTATGACACTAAAGTTTATTCAAAATGACCTCCGTGATTTTGAATACAGGCCTTCAATCTGCGCGGCCAGTCGTCTATCGCAGCACGAACGAGGTCCATGTCAATATCGGCGGCTGCCTTAATCAAGGATGTCTTGAGTGACTCCAAATTGGGATGAGGCTCTGAGCACGCCTTTTCCTCCAAGTGTTGCCATATCTTGTAATCTAACGGATTCAAATCTGGACTGGAGGAGGGCCAGTCTTCGTGGCGGATGAAGTCGATTTCACGCGCCGCCAGCCAGTCTTGTGTGCTCTTCGCTCTATGAGCTGGCGCCGAATCTTGTTGGAATACCCAGTGCCTGTTATTGAATATGGTATGAGAAACAGGTTCCACAAGGTTCGTCAGGACTGTATTTTGATCACAACTGCATTCGTTTTTACACCTTTCTCATAAAAATGTACCTCTGTTAAGCCCCAATAAAAAACTCCCAACCATACCATGAGCGAGGATGGAAAATGACCTCGTTGGACACGCGGAATACGGTTGCTCGCTTCTTCACTACTGTGTGCGTACACCTTATAATTTTGTTTGTTGTAGCTCTCTTCTACGGTAAAAATTTTTTCATCCGAAAAAAGAATTTCCCGATATTTTTTCCCGCGTACCGCTTCAACAAAGCGCGGCATCTCTTCAGTCTCAGGTCCATTAGACGAGCATTCAAACGATGTCCTCTTTTTCTTCGATATGCCCGAAGCCCTAAGTCTTCATTTAACACCCTTTTCACCGTGGTTCTTAACCCCATCTGAAGGGCCAACAGTTTCTGCTTACGTTTGGGATTTCTTTGAATTCACGCCTTCACAGCTTTTATCACTGCTGGAGTCCTAACAGACCGAGGGCGACCACTTCTTGACCTGTCATCTACACTAGAGTCTTCATTGTATCGTTTGATGGTACGATAAACGAATCTTTTGGTTATATTTAAATTTATCAGTATGTCAAAAATTTGGAATTGGCGCGTAACCGAAACGATGCAACGCAATAACTGCAACACGGTCTTCTTTAAGCGTCCACTCCATATTTAAAAATGAGTAAAATTCTAAAAAGTATACAGTTTTATTTTCATGAACAATTCGAAATTCGAATTCAATAAACT